GAAAGCATCCTCAAAGTGAAAGACTTAGTGTATTTCTTATTAATGTGTAAGGATTTGAGGAAGTCTTAGTTTAAAGGTCTTGCAGGCTGGGCATGGTTGTCTCATACCTATAACCCCAACACTTTGGGAGACCAAGGTAGGAGTTTGACACCAGTCTGGGAAACAAAGCAAGGCCTCATCTCTATAAAAAATCAGAACAATTAGCCAGGCATGGTGGTGCATGCCTGTAGTCCCACCTACTCAAGAGGCTAAGGTGAAAGGATTGCCTCAGTCCAGGAGGTGGAGGCTGTGATCGTGCTGCTGCACTCCAGTCTGGGTGACAGAGTGAGACTCTTACCAAAAAAACCCAAAAAACCAAAAAACGTCTTGCAAATAATCTTCACCTTATGGTGAGTAGTGGTTTGACGTCTCTTTCATAATCCATGAACCTCCAGGAACAAGGGTGAATTGGCAATGCATTTTTGTGGTCTATTGTATTTGAACCTTTGATTGACAAGTGATTTCAAAATAATGTTTATTTGCAGAGCATGACTGCTGAAGCAAAACAAAACCCCAACAGCCTTCATACCTGTTTTGCCACCACAAATATTCCCAAGGAAAGAGAGAAACATCAAATGTTCACTCAGTGGTTCCTTGTCCTTAAGAATCCTGGGGAGAATCAGATCATCTGAAATAGAGACTCTGCTATTTTTATACCCAATAGCAAATTGGGAAGTCGCCAGGCTTTCATCTCAGCAGTAAGTCTTCTGAGGAACTGGATCTAGAATTTGTTTATACTTTACACTTCGGGGAAAGGTGCATTCTGAGTCCTTTCAGCTGTTGGTGCTTTTCCTTTCCCTGAAGAACCTTTGAAATTACCTTTTGATATTTTTTCGTCTCATCCACCTAGAAAGAAAAGGAGTGGCGGGGGACAAAATTGGCAAGAGCCTCACTCACTTGGGCATCACTAGCATTAATCGAATGGATAATGAGACATGTTGGCTAGTCAATAACGCCAGACCTTGCTGTTTGTTTGCAATTCAAAGCAATAATTAGGCACTCCCAATAAAGGGAGCTGGGTGTGGCCACTTTGGATCTAACTTAATATCCATCTCCCAGGCAGTAGAAAATGCCAGAATCAAAAATTGTGCACCAGCTTTTCAAGTAACCATATGGTAGCTTAATACAGGGCTCCAGGAACATTATGTGAACACACACAACATTCTCTTCAGACACAGGCCACTGATCTGCCATGGAAAGGAATATTAGGATGTGTTCTCTTGGCCACCAACCCCTTCTCTTTCTATGGCCTGTTCCTTCTACTTGATCCATGAAGAAAGGACAGGCCTGTGGGAAAACCATGACGACTTACTGGTGGCTTACTCCCAGTTTCCAATATATTCTTGTGTGTGTGTGTGTGTGTGTGTGTAGACACAATTTATCTTAAAAATGTAGTTAAGATAGGGCACATTGAAACACCTGCATCAGAAGCATTGATTGAAATTCACTCACAGCAACACGAAGCCACTTTTACTATGAGTTGAATTGCAAATGGCTCTGCAAAATGGGAGGCTCTCCTGAAATTGCTGTAAGGGACAAGGCTAGATCCTTGATTGGCTGATGAACCTGAGGGAGTATAGGTTACAATCCTGGGTTTTGCTAGGGGAGGAGGATGACGAACAGAAGGAAACTGAATAAAGCTGTGTTTGAGGGGAGCTGTTGGTTGAAGAGAAATATTTCAAGAACTTGCCTTTTCTCCCCGAGGGAACACATACGAACAAAATGTAATGTGAATCTATTTCTGCTGTGCCAAGTGACAGAGCTTCATGCTTCTGGTTTCAATATGGAACAGAAGGCGTTATGGGCGTGGATGGCAGTGGGCAGGTCCTCTGAGGGGGTCTTCTCTCCTTCACCTCTGAACCTCTGTTTCATAGTGTGCAGCAGGTGTCTCAGGGAAAGTGTACAGAAAGCTAGGGCTCAGCTGCATCTGGGAAGCTGCCCTTGACCCCCATCTTGCTTCAGGGAGGAGAAAAGTACAGAGGTCTTTTGTAGTTGCTAATCAATTCAGAGAAATAGAAGACTTTACAACAGACTGGTTCAAAAGAGGTAAGGAAAATGACTTCAAACAGTTAATATTACAAATAACTAAACATCAATTAAATGTTTTGAAATTAAATAGGCAGGCTGAAACATTTACTTAACCATTTGGTAGGCAAGAGGTATTGCAAATTAATCAAAAAGCTGCAGTAATTGAATCTCAGTAAGGGGGTTTCAAAGTGTCAAAATTATAAAAAAATCCCATAAAAAAATGAGACAGCTCCCTTTGCTCAATTCACCAAATCCTTATTGAGCACCTGCTATGGGCTTTTATGGGTTACTTTTGTGTTCTAATTTTAGCTTTAGTTTGAGGCGATGTTTGATCTTTAGGAACCTGTAACATCTAAATATGGGGAGTGCCTATATTTGGTATGAGGATTCAAAAATTTAGTTATATAAGGTGGTATAATTCTTCATTAAGGAGGTCACAAAATCGGGTTCCCTTAGTGACTTTTTTTTTTTTTTTTTAACTACAATTATAATACTTTAATTCCTTTAGAATGAGGCTAACATTTTCCCTTTTGGGAACAGATTCACTGTAATAAAGATTATTCCCTTATTCATAAAATATTTAATAAACATCCGCATATAGTCAGCTCTCTGTATTTGTGGGTTCTACAACTATGGATTCAACCAAGGATCAAAAATGTCTGGGAAAAAAAAAAAGAATGGCTGTGTCTGTACTAAACATGTACATGTTTTTCCTGTCATGATTCCCTGTATAATACAGTACAACTGTTTGTATAGCATTTACATCGTATTAGGTATTTTAAGGAATCTGGATATAATATCAAGTAAACAGGAGGATATGCGTAGTTTATATGCAAGTACTATGCCATCTTATGTGAAGGACTTGACCACCCATAGATGTTAATACCCCCGGGGAGGTCCTGAAACCAATCCCTCAGGGATACTGAGGAACAATATCTATAAAACCACTGCCAGGTGCCCACTATTAGTCTATCTCACAAGGCTTCTGTAAGACTCAGATGAGAGTCTAGGTGACTCCACTTAACAGAATATAAATTGCTGAGTGCGTATCAATGCTATTTTTATTACATAACCCGAATGAGTTGCAAACACATTCATGACTCAAATATAGAAAGTTATAACTATCTGGGTCTATTTACTTAAAACATTTTAATCCTAATTAACATTTACTGAGTTCTAAGTGCCATCAGCGTGCTATGGCTTGAAAATATTTTACTTAATCTAATTTACGATGACCTTGGGAGGTAGATATCCTCTACGTTGTAGAAGATGAGGAAACGTGACAAAGGATCCAGTAACTAGACAGTATTAGAACTGTGATGGGAATACAGGCCTATTTGTCTGCAAAGCCTGTGAACACATTTTATCCTATAAAGTTCTAAAAGTTGGTTTTTCTTCAATTATATTACAGCTAAGCCTCATTTATATAATATGAAAAAAATCAAGCAGTTTGATTTTTCAGAAAAGTCAAAAAAAATTATTTTTCTTTCATTTGGCAGCATATATATTCATGTATGTATATACAGTACATATGTAATATATATGTGTAATATATATGTACATATACAGGTGTACTAACATGAAATAACACATTTTATTACACTTAAGAAAATAAAATTTGAGTGAATCAAACCATAGACACAATTCCTTTAAAGGTTGTTTTCCTCCATCATGGCAGATTGTTACATAACTAAAATTAACCAACTTGTATCTGATTGTTTTAAATTAGACTATAAATAAAACAAACAAACAAAACCATAAACAGGAGGAAGAAAAAGATCACCTAGGATACAGTGTTAAACCACATTCACAGTTTAGCTTAATTTGTGGTTTTTGGAGGGAAAAAAAAATTTATGTGTATGTATTTTATATGGCCTGCCACTTGAGGTATTATATTTAGAGCTGCATAGTTTCAATGACTGAACTTTATTTTTTCCCTTATATTGAAAAATACTAGATTTATTGGCCAACATCACTACAGAAGACTCTGAAAGTACCAGAAAAGTGATATATTTTCCTACCCTCCCCAAACCTTGCTTTATCTGTGAAAATTTCTTAAAGGACAGCAAGTATTTAGTCTTTGGAAACATGGGTTTGAATGCCAGTGTTCTGCTAGTTACCTGATTTGACAATTCTCTCACCAGTCTGAGCTGCAGTTTTTTACTCTTCTTTAAAATAGGAGACAGCTGGGCTCGGTGGCTTAGCCTGTAATCCCGCGCCTTTGGGAGGCTGAGGTGAGTGGATTGCCTGAGCCCGCGGGTTCGAGACCCGCCTGGGCAACTTGGCGAGACCTCATCTCTCCAATAAATCAAAATATCAGCCGGGCGTGGTAGCGCACGCCTGTAATTCCGGCTACCCGGAAGGCTGAGGCGGAAGGATCACCAGAGCCCAGCAGGTCAAGGCTGTGGTGGCCGGGAGTGGCCACTGCACTCCAGTCTGGGCGACAGTGAGACTTCAACTCAAAAAAAAATAAAAATAAAAATAAAAAAATAAAATAAAATAGGAGACAATAGTACCTATTTCTCAGGTAGGGTGAGAGCTTGAGAGACAATGAATAGAAAGTTCCTGGTAAGCACTTAAATGTGGTCAAAATTCTAAAATGAGTGTATTATTTATAGTATTTCCAGTTGTAATTATCACATAAGTTTTGTGACTCTTTGAGGGAACCAAACTTCATATTCAAATACCCCAATGCAGTGTACAGAGATGAGCTCGGTGGAGCATCCGCCTGTAGAGTCTTGAAGATAAACACAATTTGCATTTGCATCACATCATCCTTACTTAGCTGTACAAAACAGGCTTAGAAGTATTGATTTCCATGTCCAACAGCAGGGAATGCTAAGAAGCCAAGACTTTGCTGTATTGAATGTTAGAGGCAAATCCTAAATATTTACAATGAAGTATTATTACTTCAGTGGAAGAAACAGGCATACTAACATGAAAAAACACATTTTATTGCACTTAAGTTATAAGAAAATAAAATTTCTAAGTGAATCAAACCATAGACACAATCCCTTTAAAGGTTGTTTTCCTCCATCATGTCAGGTTGTTACATAACTAAAATTAACCAACTTGAATCTGATTGTTTTAAATCAGACTATAAATAAAACAAACAAAAAAATAAACAGGAGGAGGAAAAAAGATCGCCTAGGATACAGTGTTAAACCACTTTCACAGTTCAGCTTGAGTTGTGGCTCTTGGAGAATGAGGCAAACCATTTGACTTTTTCATTCATGTCTGTTTGCATGTGACACCTTTACTACAAAAACTGAATCGTTTCTGCTTTGTCAGTTACTCAGAGCAATAAAACTGTAACAGTTGTTTTCCCAAATACTGTAAAACACTAAGACTGACCAGCAACTTTATTTGTATTTTGTGTTTTATATATTTTTAAAATATTTTGTCAGTTTTATGATGTATGTTCATCCATTCACCACAGCCCTCAAAAAGAAAAGTTTCTCCACAGAACAGGCCGTAATAGCTCTGTTCCAAGGAATGTGTTTTAATTTTTGCCCAGATAAAAGAAAATAAGCTTTGCACACACTCTCAATTCTTTACTTGCAGGCAAACTTCACTCTTTATTATCTGAAACTCTTCCATTCTCAGCCTCTTAGAGGCACAGATGGTTCAAGTTTCAGTGGCAAAAAGTCTTTTTTTCCGTAACCAAACTAGAGCAAATTTGGAATTCAGTCTGGGACTAAAACGTCACAGCAGAAAAAAAATAAAAAAAAATAATTTGCTTTTTTCTTTCTTTCATTTAGCAGCATAAATAAGTTTGGCCACTGGGAGTACAGTACAGGGGTGGGACAACAATCCCATATTTGAAGACCTACTTCTAGCACCAGCATCAAGAATTAAATCCATCTCAGGACTCACAGAACCCAGGACAACTTGCCACCTTTGAGCAACATATGCTTTGAAGAGTGTATATGGAAGCAACAGTAAATAGATTAACAGAGGCTAATACTGTGATTGATTGACATTGGCAATGGTTGGCAAAAACAAACAAAAAAAAAAAAAACAAGAAAAAAGCTTTTCATGATAACTGTACAAAAACAATTCACAGTAATTTTTTTAGCTTTTCCACTCCAGAAAAATGACATTTTGTTGCAGATGCTCTCTAATTAGAAAGTCAACCAGTACTTTTTTGATGTTATTGCAGCTCCTTTCTAGGTGTCAGTGGCAAAAGAACAGGCTAGCAGAATCTGTAATGATGTTTTAGCATTCACACTGCCCAATGACCACTGGAGAAGAAAATAAAGAAATAATTGCACCTGGTTTGATTTAGAAAGTCTCATTTTGCAAAGCTGTCCTCAGTCAAGTGAAGCCTTTGATGTGATGAGACAGCAGACACCTCTCTTGTCAGTTACGGTTTGCCATCTCTTCCTCTTTCCTTCTTAGTCTGTAGGTCTTTTCAATTTGTTGCCCCAAGCCAACATCCTGCACCACTGAGAACAAGGGATTTTTTTTCTTTTTCTTTTCTTTTTCTTTTTTGCAGGGGGAAGGGCAGGGAGTATATCGTCTACACATTTGGACAAATTCATCTTTTCTGCTCTTCACTTCATGTCCACATCAAAGTCCAGCACCAGCAGCTTGGTTTCTTCAGTTCCATTCCGACTCCCAACTGCACACACCAGCTTTGTGTTCGAGGCTCTGATCCGCCACACAACTCCCCCGCTCCCCCCACTCTCCAATGTAACTAGGTTTCGAATAAATTCACCCGTTTTCAAGTCCCATAGTTTTACAGTTCCATCATCTGAGCTGGTAATTACAAAGTTCTTGTTGAACTGTAAACAGGTCACAGCACTCTGATGCTTGTTGGGACCTAGGCAAAACCAAAACCAAAATAATTTAATTACTGGTTAGAAATAATGGCCATGGATTAGTTACACAGTAGTTCGTAGACTTCTATGTTAGAAGAGACTTCTACATATAATAAATGCAAAATGTGAAATGAAACATATTTAGACACCTTTGTCCTGAGTATTTTATGATCAGCATGGATGTAAGAAACCTGGTAGCTATTTGTAACTGAAACATTGACGTTCAAGAGTTCTGTCTTCCAGAAAGCTTGGTTAGCTACCAGGCAAACTTATTTTCCGGCTGTGTGAACAAGAGCGTTCCTTGGCAAGGATGTAGACTGTGCAACTTCATCTATTCTGCTGATGGACAAATGAGTATTAAGAGGTCTACTACCCCACCACTTTGAACTGACCACTCAAAGCTGAGGGAACACTATTCCAAAACTCTGAAGAAGGGACAAAACCAGTGAGTAAAAAGTTGCAATGCTGCCTACGAGGTGGCCTCACTGAAAAAAAAAAACCAAACACTTTCTAAGAGAAATGATAAATAAAAAGTCCATCATGAAAATGCTGTACCTTATCTAATATTAGTGATCTTCACAAGCTTCCTTCTCTATTTTAGTGGACACTATTATTCCTTTCCATCCCAGTAAAGCAGGTATCTAAGTGGAGACTAAAGCAATTTTCTATCAGGGATGCTTTTGTTTTTTTCAATAAGATAGTCTTTAAAGTTGGACTGCAGATTCAAATTAAATGATCATTCAAAAAATATAACGAGTACACTGCTTCTGTGATAAAGCTAAGACCTTGCTTTAAGGTTAGGTAAAGTCAACTGAACCTGCAGGAAGTGATTAAACAATCTATATTATATATTAAAAACATAATTTAAAACCTTTTCTCAAAAACAGACTAGTTCTGCAAGTCAGTGGAAATGCTCATAATCTCATCTGGAATAAGCATTTTGTATGAGGCAAACGCTTGTTGTGGCCCTGAGGCTCCCTACTTCTCTCCTGAGTAACAATCTCATTTTCAGTGAATACAGCTAAAGGTGGGAAGCCAATACTTACCTTGCAAGGTTTGTAAACACTGTCCTGTTTTGATATCCCAGATTTTAACTGTAGAATCTGCATTCCCAGAGACAAGAATATTGTCTTTTAGCTCCATTCCACTTGTTAACGACTGGTGCCCTGTCAGCGTGTGAATGCAATTCCCTGTCTCCACATCCCAAACTCGGATTGATGTATCAAGAGATCCACTCACCACGTGGATACCATCAAACTAAAACAGATACAGTTTATTAGAACAGAAGTATGAATTCTCTTCATATCAACTATTGACCTTAATAGAGGAAGGGGGAGAGCATGGGAAACAGGTAATGCCAGGGACAAAATGAGGTACTAGGATAAAGTGGCAACTCGGATAAAGTGCACGTCATCAAACAACCCCATAGTGCATGTTCTCAGACACTGCTATCAGAAACGCTAAGTTTTATGCCCAGTAGCTTCAAACTAGATGCAGAATCAAGTTAAAAAGAAAACAAGGCACCTAAAATGAACAAAACAATATTTACAGATCATCTCACCCCACTTAGCTATACACCATGGGTAATCCGGTAAGAACTGCCATCTGAGTTAGACTTCCCAGTAGGAAGTTGAAGCTGATGACAAAGCTTGTGATAGAGGGCTGTTTATCAGTACCTAAGGCATGGAAAGGGCTAGAGACACCTTTCATGATGTTCATAAGCAAGTTCCATTAAACCTATACATAAAGTAAAAGTTTCATTGCTAAGAACCTAATGCTAATTAGGAATGTGTCAAAAGATAATTATATCTGGAATTAGAAGAGATGGCATTTTGATAACAAAAGCAAATTATACAGTACCTCTTCTCCAGCTTCCCAGCTACACCAAAAGCTAATAAATATATATCAATTCTCGAGATATAATGTGGCTACCTCTTTTCTCAAATGGTTTATTTAAATGAGAATATTGTATTCATTAAGGTTCTGACCATATCATAAAACATAAAAACAGTAGCAGACAATTCTCTCTCCTCCAAATCATCACCTTTTCTAATTTAACAAACATCTTTATCATACTGTCAATATTTCATGACAAAGACAATATCCCATCAATTAAATAACAAATACTCTAAGAGCAGAATTGTCAGTACGGGATTATGTACCAATTTGCTGATTATTAATAGGCAATAACTGGTAAATAAATTATGTAAGCAATAGAAAATAGTTTAAAATTGAAAATGCTGCCTTTCAGGAAACAAAACAAGATCCATTTTCTAGACTTTCCATTAATCTAGATAATGATTTCAAAATATGACAACCTATTCAAGGATATCAGGTTCAAATGCAAACAAAAAAATAATCAGCTTCGTCAAATGTACATCTTTATAGCTACAAATCAGTGGCCCGGGGCAGTGGAGCAGCTTCATGCAGAAAGGATCTACTTGCACTTTGAATGAGGATGGAATCAAAATTACATGGTCCATCAACTTTTAGCTATCAAGGCAAAGGGGCAGCTTTTGGCCAAATTAATCCTCTGCTAAGGAGTTTATTAAAATCCAGGTCATTCTCCTACGAGACTATCTAGCCATTAATTAATATAGCAAAACTTAGAGCCCCAAAATGTCAGGTTGTAAGACAAATATTTATATTTCAGAGGGGAAATAAATCAAAGAAATTTGAAACCATTAAAATAATTTAGAAATTGAAACTGTCTTCATGTCAATTTTAAAGTATATGTAAAGAGCAGGAGAATCTGATTCATCTTTTTTGGACTGTATTGGGTTAGCAATTTGATAGTAATTATCTGAGTAAAACAACCATATGAATCACCAGTAGAGCATCTAAGGGATGGGAGAGATAAGACCTCTTACCTGTAATGAATAAACTCTATTAGTATGCCCCTGCAACGTGTGTAGACAGGTCTCAGTCTCTGGATCCCACACCTTCACCATAAAATCATATGCTCCACTAACAACCCTCCTGCCATCATATTGAACACAGCGGACTGCTGCCACGTGACCCATCAAAACATGTAAACACTGGCCTGTCTCAATATCCCAAACCCTAAGAGTGGCATCTCGAGAACCGCTAACAACTCTGTAAGGGAGAAACAGAAAAAAAAGGTATTAGAACTTTTAATAATATGAGAAAACATGGCAGATGTTTTTAAAAACTCTTATTTTTCTTATGCAGAAATGACTATTTTCAACAGAACTCCTGTGTAAAACCTTGATATATAAACATATAATACTAAGTTAGCCTGATTTGAATGAAAAGGTGAGAAGCCTAGCATTCTGCTTGTTTTGTTCCCTTACTCATCTGAACCTTAGTTTCAGCACCTTAAGGTTCTGTAGGACAATGTTTGAAAACTACTGTACTGTATACTGTATCGAAGGAAAAAAAATTGGCTCTAAATACATACAATAAAATCTTAATTTCAGAAGTTAAAAGGTAATGTGGACATGTATAAAACGTTAGTGGGGGAACTCTAGGTGATAGTAGTTTAAACAATTTAAATTCTTTATGCTCTTTGTCATTTTCCAACATTTCAATTATGAACACATACATACCCTCTTGTGACTAGGTTAAAAAATTCAGTAAAGGTTATTCAACAAAACATCAGAATTTGAAATGTAAACAGCTATGGATATATGCTTTATACTAAATATTCTGGTAAAACCAATCAGTTTTAGACACGTTTTCAAACAAAGGCTGCTGCTTATGCTTATAATGATTACATTTATAAATATTCAAAAGGCTATAAGTATATAAAGATATACAAATTTAAAAAGACACATACACTATAAAAGTAACGAAAATCCCTTAAAAATGTGGTTCAACATTATTAAAGCTATACTCTTCTGAAAACCAGAGTGATACAAATACAGTAACCATCTTCGGATTATAAAACAGAGCTGAACACTCATGTATCCCATTCCTAAGAGGTAGAGATGCCACAGTCTCAAAATTTGAAAATGTAGAAAACTGAAGAATTGAGATATTCAAATCAAAACATAATGGAAACTGAAATGCAAGGTCTCTTGACATCCATCCCCCAAATTTTAACAATGCAGCACACTGTCACAGTAGATTCAAATGACAAATGAAAAGGTACTCTTTTTCACAAATTACAGATCTACTTGCGAAATCTGCTTAATGTAACAGTTCTTAATAAAGAAGTAGTTATGGACAGAATTAAAGATAAAGACTGCAATGGATTCACTGTTAGGACCTTTCAAAGAGGACTCTTTTGACAAATGAAGTATAAATCACATTTGTTTTACAGGGGTACAATGAAGACATGCCAATAGAAAGGAAAGGTTTTAACAGGAGGGCTACACAGAAAGAGATAAAAGCAACATCAAAGGCACGGAGAAGAAAAGGGCAAGCAGTCCATTTGGCTGAAACCATTTTGAAAACTGGACTGAGGGTATCTTCCTTAATTCAGTAGTCAACAGTAGGCTCCCAAAGAAAGAACAGGGCAGTGATACTGTAATAATTATAGAAGTGGGCTATGTCAGCTTTGTAAAAGGCAAGAAGACCAAGTCTGAAGGCTACAGCAATTGTTCAGAATAAGAGAATAAATTAAAACCCACAAGCATCAGTTTTTGCCTAGACTTAGAGGATATGATGGAATGGGGCAAGATGGGTAAGTAAGTTAAAAGACTCAGAGGCTTCAAGCCTGACTTTGTCCTACTTACAGAAATATAAATATTAAGAACAGATAAAATTATTTTTGCTTGAGAATGATGAGTCATCAAAGATATAGAACAATAAAAAAAATTAGGGAGTGAAGAGTTTCAAGGAAGAAGCCCACACACAACACTATCAAATGAAGGAGAAAATTTAAAGACAACCCTTAATTTTAAGCCAACACTCTATAGCTTTCCTAGAGTAGAAACATCTGAAGCCTAATAATTAAAGCCTAATTAACAGCACACTGTCACTATCTAAGTAACTCTACACAGAAAGAACCCAAATTCACAAGCAACAGAGGAAGAGGTTTGAAAGGATTTTCTCTTACCTTTTCTCATGAAGATGCATACAACGCACAGTGGAAGTATGCCCATATAAGGTGTGTATACATTCTCCAGTCTCTGCATTCCACACTTTGAGAGTCCGATCTGTAGATCCACTAATGATGATATTGTCTCTCATCTGTGATGACCACACTCCACCTGTATGTCCCACTAATGTTCTCAGACACTGGAAAAACACTTAAGATGATTACTCTTGGGTAGAAAAGAAAAGCGATTGAAATAACATTTTAATAGCTCATTAACATTTGGAATAAAGTTATTTATTTAATTTGGCTGTTTGTTCCATCAGAAAATATTCTTTACAAATCAGTATATCATGATCCCATCACTGTTTATTGCTTTGTTTATTTAGTAACATTATGCAAGGGGGACCCAAAAGACCCAATTTATTTTATTTTTATTTATTTTTTATTTTTTTGAGTTGGAGTCTCACTCTGTCACCCAGACTGGAGTGCAGTGGCTGCTCCCGGTCACCGCAGCCTCGACCTGCTGGGCTCCGCCTCAGCCTTCCAAGTAGCTGGAACTACAGGCACGCACTACCATGCCCGGCTAATTTTTTTTTGGATTTATTGTAGAGATGAGGTCTCGCCAAGTTGCCCAGGCGGGTCTCGAACCTGCGGGCTCAGGCAATCCACTCACCTCAGCCTCCCAAAGCGCAGGACTACAGGCTGAGCCACCGAGTCTGGCTCACAATTTATTTTTATAAAAAACTGTGTATTTATCCTTACAGGTTTAAACTTCAGTTACCTTCAAAGCACTCTGTTAGATACAATGCACCTATCAAGATGCTTTTTCCACTGCTAAAAACAGTTTTGGAATGCATCAATTTTGATGCCTTTTTAGCACCTCTGCTGCCTTTTGTTTCACCTTTTCTACATGGGCAAAACGTTTCCCTTTGAGGACTTTTTCCGTCACCAAAAAAGTCACTCAGAGTGGGACTGGGTGAATAGGGAGGGTGGGGCACTGGGTCATAAACATGCTGTGGGCAGATGTGCTCGTAAGTCACCCATCATGAAATGGTCAAATGTGTGCGCGCTTAAAGAATCTCCCCAAAAAACTCAGCCTCTCACAACAAAACCATTTAGTAAACTGATGCTGATGGGTTCCTAGAACACGTACCTAGTAGGAGAAGCCTGTACTACAAGGGGTCTGTCCTCCAAAACATAATTCTGTTTTTTTAGGGGGGTTCCCCCTTGTATATTTTACATAAACACACATAATTAAACACATACAACTGAGGAACAAGTATGCAGAAAGCAAACATATGAAATAAAACATATATATGATAAAAAGGAAACATGTGATATGAAAGCAAATATGATAGCTCCAGCTCAGCCTCATTGATAAATACACTAAAATTGCAACTTGGTTTCTTCCATGGGAATAAATTCAATGAAAGGTCGCCAACAGTTTTGGGTGTGGCTACATACCACGTTTCATCTGAATTTGCCCCAAGGCAGTAGTTAGGAGCCAGCCAAACTACTTCTAGACAAGTAAAGACAGACATTAAAACCTTGAAATAAATCCAAATCTAATATTGCACTATGGAAAAATGAAGCTGCTTTAAAAAAATTTTAACATCTGACTTGGAATACTTAGAAGATTTTTACCCAAGAAGCAATATAGTAAAAGACATTTTAAAAGACATGAATTTTTTAAAAACTCTCAATCTGTTATTTTAAGGTGGCCAATTACTTAATTCATGAAAATATTTTCCATTAAACTAATAAAAATAAATATTTACTAAAGAATCATTAAGGTAAAATATTGAACGTAGTCAAGTTGATTGCTTGAATGACTTTTTTCTTCAAACATATTTAAATACCCACTCTTTAATTAACTTCCATCTCACAAGGGTTTAAGATAACTCTAAATTAATATGATTTATTTAACTTCTAAACTATAGGTAGCTTACCAACAAAGCAGTTTATAAGAAAAAGTAAATATCATTCAATCATACTTTTGAAAAACATTAAAAAGTAATGAGGTATAACTTAAATGAGGTATAATAAAGGTGGAAAAAATTAAGCCAATAAAAATACAAAGCACATCTGAAAAATCTTAAAATATGTAAGTCACAAAGATAGACAAACCATTTAAATGAAAAAAAATTAATGACAGCCATATCAAGAGAAGCAATATTATCATTATACTAAGGTGACTTTCATAAACATGGGGGAAAAAAGCTAAGTTACAAGCTCTAATATTTGCTCTCCAAGTAAGTGAGGATCAAAAATGAATCTTGGTTTTCCTTTTACTGGCTGATGTATGCAAAGAAACACACAAAATGGTGACTTTGTGAAGTGTAAGAAGTAAACTTACTTTGCCGGTGACAGCTGACCAGACTTTTAAAGTGTTGTCATCAGAACCACTAACTATTCGGTTACCACAAAACTGTAAGCATGTGATCACATGATCATCGTGCCCTTTCAGCACCTATAAGACAGACATATAGATTAGAAATTGTATTAAATTATGATCTTAAAAATACTGGTAAAGAGAAAAATAAAGTCATAAACAGGAACAGTAATCTGTAGTCTATTTCTAGAATTAAGCCTCTAATTTTTGCAGTTTTGACACATAAAACAAAAAAGCACTAACTTGAAAGACAAGAGTAACAATTACCAGTTTTTCCAATTTAAAACGAACAAAAAATCTGTCATAATGTATACATATAATGTTTCCCAAACTTGGATTTTTCCAATTGTAAAAATATATCCAGTAATTTCAAGCATTATTACCATTCTTTATGTACTTAAAATGTTATAAAATAGAAAACAAGAATTAGGTTTCAATTTATAAAAATAAAATACACAAAAGCCACCAAAACCAAACATGAGCACAACTAAAAAAAAACCATCTTTGGACTATGTTGATCAGAGAAGACAAATTCTTAGGCAGAATGTGTATGACACAATTAAATTCAACAGGATATTCTGAGATTTTCATTTATATAAGATAGAAAGGTATTTAATTCAACTCATCTTTTTACCCAAGTACAATTAGTTGTCAGATTAGAGAAATGAGCAATAAAATAATATTGTCAGTTATACTTTCAGTTATTTTTAAACACATAGTTTTCTTTCTACAGAAGACAACTGTCATATTACACAGCTTGCTAAGAAGGGAAACTGTGCAGTAGGTATCAACACCAATTAATGGTTTCTATGACACTGTGCAGAGTTCAGTTACCTTAGGAGACTTGAGTTCTCCTCGCCTCCAGTTAGTATCAATTCTGTGCTGTCGGATGTATGCACTTTTCCATGGACTGTGTATGAAACCTGGTTTTATTACTTTTCTTCTCTTGATGTGCAATGGTTCATCAATCCCTAAAGTGTTAAAGAGTTCAAGAGTATACATGCCTTCACTGATAATAAAAATTACACATTTTATAATGTATCTCATTTTCCTTCATGCTCAAAACCACTGAAATGCAGAACATTGTCCAATTTCTAATACTATTATCAAGTATGTAACAATCATGTAAAGTTTGCATGCTATATGGTTTATTTTCATATTTACAATTTCATTTCTTTCTCAAAATGATTCTAAGATGTTAAAGCAAGGATGTACAAAAATTGGAATGCTTGTGTAAATGGCACAGCTGCTGTGGAAAATAGTATGGCGATTTCTCAGAAAAATTAAACCAAGAATTAACATATGATCTATGATCTAGCAATTTCACTTCTAGATACATATTCAAAATAATTAAAAGCACAGACTCAGATATCTGTACACCCATGTTCACAGCAGCACTATTTACAACAGTCAAAAGGTAGAAGCCAAAAAATGGGAGTGATCCAAGTGTCTCCCAACAGAAGAATGGATATACAAAACGTGTATATCTGTATACACACACACTGGAATATTACCATTCAAGCTTAAAAAGGAAGAAAATTCTGACACAACGTTATGACATGGTTGAACCTTGAAGACATGCTAAGTGAAATAAGATGATTACTAAAGGACGGATGTTGTATGATCCCACTTGTTTTGAAGTACTTAGAGTAGTCAAATTCATAGAGAAAGAAAGTAAGAGAGTAATTGCCAGAGGCTGGGAAGACGAGGAATGGGGAGTTTTAACAACTGGTATGGAGTTTAAGCTGGAGAAGATGAAGTTCTGAAAATGGATGGTGGTGACAGTTGTATAACAATATGCAATGTGCATTAATGTCACTGAACTTAAAAAGGTTAAAATGATAAACTTCACACATAAATTACCACACATTTTAATAAGTAATTTAAAAAATGATTCTATGAGAAAAGGTGAAACAGAGTTGATTAATCCCACTTTTGTATATAAATACTCGAGAAGGAAGATTTCACTGATTAATCCAAGCCCCAGACAGAGCAAGTGCAGGATTAGAAACCACATACCCTATATCTTTACCTCAAAGTTTTATTAACCTGGACTAACCATCAGTGCTCCTAACTGGACTATAACCACCATGAAGGGGAGGATCATGTACAGTGTACCTATATCATGTTCTATGATTGTTTCTAAAAAATTTTGCTTCAAGGTAAATCATATTTTTATATATTATTTTTCTGGATGCCTGCTGGAAAAAAAAAGTCCTCCCTTTAATTATCATGGATGATACTCTACTACGAAAGGGGAAAACAAAATAAAACAAAACAAACAAAAACAGGTTTTGAGAACATAGCTCTACGACAGAAATAAAATGGCAGTTCACTGTTATATCCCCAGCATTTAAGAATGTCTAGCTTATAGCAGGTGTTCAATAAATATTTTTGGAAGGAATGCATTAAATACTGAATATATGGTTGTTTAACTGATAATATAATTTTTGTGTTTCCTTTAAATTGTCCATGGCTGTACTTTTTCATTATTTATTAATTCTACTAGTGACTATGAAGCAAAATATATATTTGCCATTGGTTACAGTGCTTATTAAAGGGGTTAGCTGCAAGCTTTGACTCATTTGAATGTGTGGAAAGTAGATGAATATACATAAGACCTGCTCTTTGATAGGCACCCTTTTCTCATTTATTCGGTACCTTATGTAACCTGCACATAAACCTTATTATTTTTATTTTTTCTACTTGTTTTCAGAATTACTTTGCTTTTTCAAAATACCAACAGATTCTGTATGAAATTTTGTACCTTACCCTCTTCTTTGCATTTCTCTCTCCAGAGAAGGTTATCTTCAGCCAAAATTCTCCAGTAGCGACATGTCTGAGCTGCTTGTAGCAGGTCTTTGGGTTCCAGGAATGAAAGCACATAGAGTGCCAGCTAAGAAAAACAACGCATAGTATAATACCCATATATTTAAAAAAATAGAAATAATAAGTTACTTATTCTCCATAGGATGAAACACTTAGAGAAAACATAATTCTACAATCTAACTCCTAAGATTATGAAAGGAAGTACCTTCAATCTTAACTAATATACACCAGGAAGGAAAAAAAAAAAGCCCACACACCTCATTGGTTGTTATGAACTCCACTAACTCTTTATGTCTTTAAGAAAGATTTATTAATTCTCTTTGTTTCTGCTCTCGCCTTTTCTCTGTGAACTGAAACTCAAGAACTCAAATTATTTTTTATTTTATTAGTCATTTACATTTGTTTTCTCTCCCAACAACAATATAAATTCACTGAAGATAGGACCTAAATATCTGCCTGACAGCCTGGCTGACCGGAAATGAGATTTCTATACATTCTGTGTGGTATAACTTCAGATCATTGCAGACAGATAGATATCATAACTAACAGTCTTCATCACATCAAAGTGTTTATTATCATAATGAACTTCTGAAACATTTACACCCCTGACTGTAAATGACAAAGGGGGACAATTATTAAATCGTGCCATAGACAAAAAACTAATTGGGTTCTAATTACTTTACATTGCTTGTGAGGTCTTTCTCAATGGGCCACACAAAGATGTATATTTGAGCTAGCTTTTTAGTATATCACTGATTTAAAAATTTTGTTTACAATACTTGCAAACCATCAGATTTTTTTTTTCAATGTGGGAAACAATTAGGTCATGAGGGTACAGCCCTCATGAATGGGATTAGTGCACTTATAAGAGGGACCCCCCAGAGAACTCTCTTGCTCTCTTTCTGCCACAGCATGTAAGGACACAGTGATAAGACATAAGTCTAGAATTCAGATCTAAATTTCTGAGCCTCCAGTACTATGAGAAATAAATTCCTGTTGTTTACAGGCCACCCAGTCTATGGCCCTTTGTTACAGCAGTAAGAACTGATGAAGACAGCCTCCTCGTGGGGAGCATACAGTAGGCACTGTGCTGAACTACCTCTCTACAGTAACTATGTACAGTAGGAAGTTACAGGTTTCTTGTAGCCCAGTCAAACGGTCTAGCTAATGTAGTTTTCTTATCATTTGGTTTAAAGGTAAAATTCACATTAGTAATTCTTCCTAAGGACTATCTCTACCAAAGAGAAGCTCTTAAATTGAAAACCTACTTTGGATATAATTACCTTTCCTTTGCTCAATTTAGCAATTTCAGTGAGAACTGCAATTTTTAATTTTTCTCTATAACTTATATAGAAAATCACTACATTATACTTAAAAGATAGTCAATATTTTCCCAGAATTGCTGTATTTCAGTGGAGGAAAACACTTTAAAAAAAGAACAAAGGAAATGTTGGCTAATTTTATATTAAGAATTTCAGGTTTTGTTCTAGATCATCTAGATTTTCCTGGCATTTACCCTATAAAATGGGATCATGCTACTTATCATGTGAGATTCATGAGATTTATTTTGTCAAGCTTTCTGAGATTAATAAGTAAATGTTGGTAAAGAACTCTGAGATCTGCTCAAAGGAATTATGAGAAAAATAAGTCCACTTCCTGACATAAAGGCAACAATGTTTTAAATAGTATTATTTAGACTCTGAGGAAACAATGTTAATTTTTAAAGGACTAAATCCATGTCATTTTCTCCACATAGAGAATGAAGCATTTTTTTGAAAGAGAAAACTGTTTCCTAGTAGTTGAAAACAAAAGGGAAACATAGATGACACACTCTGCCAGGGCTCTCGTTTAATCTGCTTGTTTAACTTCACTTTCTTTTCCTCAGTCTTCAAATGAACACTTAATCCAGGAGAATCCTTATTGGATTTATTCCGGCTATTGATAATCTATGCTTAGTTAGAGTCTTCAAAATATTTTTATATTCTTCTGATTTTAAATCTCACTTTTGTATGTTAAGAAGTTACCATGGAAATTCAAATAAAGCAAAAACAAAACCTCACTAATTTTACAAATAAGAGGACAAATTAGACTACGAGAAAGTCCGCTGTCAAAAATGACACTCTCTAAAATGAGGAGGATAGCAATAAGAAAACCATAAAGAATATATCAAAGGTGAATAAATTCACTTTCAGTCAAATACTTATAAAATGGTTTCCTATTATTAATGCCCTTCTGGAAGCAAAAAGCTTACGTCACTTTCATAAGCCAAATCTATGCAAAGGACTCAGTTTTACAATGAGCTAGCAAAACTAAAATTTTTTTTCTGGGCCCGTGTCATTTTTAAAAAAGCACTCCAAAGAAAAAAGAGATTTTCTCTACTTTGCTTTTCCCTAGAGTTATGCTTAGTTTTATATATTAAATATGGAAAACTAATTTACTCATATCCAATGTGAAATTACAATTGGGACTATCTTTAATGCCATTAGGATACTTAGCATGATTATCTAAAAAGTTGATTCCTTTTCTGTTCAAATGTGAAGTTTCAGGATCACTGGCAATAGTCTATCAGTATTTTATATTGTCTTCTTAGCTATCATATACTTAATGGCATATACATAATAATTTGTGAAAATATAAATCATAGGGACACATTATTTAATATTATATTTTTTCTGTTTGCTGACAAAATCAAACTATTAAGTCTGTAATATCAATAAAAGAACTACATCTAAACTATGCCTATTTGTACAGTTAAGAATGCCCATATCATTATAATTAACCTATGAAAGAAAACAGTGCCAGCTTTCATAAAAACACACAAAAAAAATGACCATAAAAAATACCTAAAGAAGTGCTATAAGGCTGTAACTGGCATGAGAAGGAAATCTACTTGTGTGTATAATGAGGCAGAGAGAAAAGATGATTAGTAAAAAAATATATACATATGAAATTCTATGTGTTTTAAAGTAATTATGCAAACAAAATTTTTAAAAGTAAATTAAGAGAAAAAGTACTGCTATTTTAGTAAGGTCAAAATTTTATTAAAAATCCATTATAATGAACATACTCAGACAACTAAAGGTTGGGCTTCAAATAACCTGGGGAAAAAATCTTGGTAAAGAAATAATTAAATTATTGAAATTCAATAGTTGCTCTTGTAGGTATGACTTATTCAAGTACTGGAAAGAAGTTACTTAGTCCATAAGTATACTTTAATCTGACAATTACATTATTAAGTCATAGCAGTTTATCAATTTATAGCCCACTTTACCACTGATTAAGAGTGTTAAACTGATAATACCGAATACCATAATTAGCATAGCAATGTTTAAAGGTGGTAGCTGTTGGGTTATATATTCGAGCACCCAGTGAAAAATATAATCGACAATACTTACCTCTTTAGGGAGCAAGGAAATAAAGTCTCGCTGAAACTGAGGTTCTATCACTTGCATCATATGTTTTACCTGTGTTGGTTCACAACTATCAATCAGTTCATCTAAAGCAAGCAATTTCTCTGGTCCACTCCAGCTCTATCAAGAAGAATCAGAAATTTTATTTTAACAGATGTCCCAAATTATAAGCTCATAAAAGAAAACTCACATATACATATACAACCATATTTGAACAAGGTAGATAGAACAGTATAAAAAGTGGCTGCTTATAGTGATATTTTCTCCAGAAGGCATTGAAATTTATCAAGTTTACTAACAACGTATATTTTGCAAAAGCTTTAAAAGTCATAATTTTGACAGAAAGATATTTTTTCATTATATTATTATAATAGTTATCTGGTCATTTACTACCAAGACACTGGTTGAAAAACCAAAATTTTATTCCAGAAACATCAATTTGGGTTACTGAACAGGACATTCTGACTGATGATTTTTCTTTCTCTACATTCTTTCTAGTGGGTACTATATAATTTGATGGCTTAAATAAGGCACCCATTTGAGAGGCGATTAGCAGCATCATTTAGAGAAAAATTAATAATGACATATTTCACATGTGCTGTGTCTTCCACAAATTAAAAGGGCTTCGATTTGCTTTGTGAACATAATTTCAGATTTCAAAAAATAGTAAACAATAGAAAACAGTAGCTGACTTAGTGGTAAAATCAGAAAATGAATAAAGACCAAAAGAGGGTAAAAAATAAAGTGCTACACCACAGAAAAATAAAAACATATAATTATACTTCAAAAATATGAGTTCCTTTAAACGACACCAGGGGACTATTAAAAAACAAAAGCAACAACAACAAAAAAACTTTTGTTTTATTTCCCAGTGAGGAACACTTGCACAGAAAAACCATAGTCCTTAAAAGGAAAAAGTGAAAGAGCCATATGAAAAATTTAAATTGTTACCGTTTAACAATAATCATGTAAAACATTTAAATAACCTCATAATACTTAAGTGAAAGGACAACCTAAAGCAGGCCTTTGTTTCTTCTATGCTGATTTAAGCACCTTTTGTGAATGAAGATATCCATTTTGGAAGTGGGTGAATAGAGAATAACAGGTGAAGATTTTAATTAGAAAGATCTGAATTTTTACACTTCATTCCTTGCTCAAAGAAGAAAACTTGGATTTCATAAACATATGAAACACGTAATAATTGAAAACAGATATATTAAGAGCACAGGGACCCTTAACTAGAATACTTTTTAGTTTTTTTTAAGTATTTACTTTTTTGGCATCTACAACGAACTTCATCTCTTCTTTCCTATCATAAAGTATACATTATGGCAATGCTATTAAACATTTCAGTACTATTTCACTCTTCCCATAGTATATTTCATTTCACCACCAAATATAAAGAAATACAGGTGCCAATAAATTATGTCCTTTCCTTTTACTTCTACACATACACATACCCAGAATGTTCACCTTGAATCTTTTTTTGGTCAGGGTAAGGATTTATACATAAAAATTAAAAATACCCATACACATGTATATGAACACACATTATCAATTAAAAGCAGTGAATTTGTAGTCTGATTTTCTTTGGTTTCCCTCACATAATTTCAAATACTGGTTTCAAAACTTACCTCTTTGGATCAAACTTACAGTGACCAAACCCATCACTCACCCTTTGGTTTCAATAAAATAACCTACTGATTTACTGATTTACATCCTCACAGGACTTGAAGTGGGTTTTATAACATGTTGTTCCTTGTCTGCCTACATCCTAGAAAATTCCTGGACACTAGTATAAGGTCATGCCCATTTTGAGTGATGGAGAACTATTCTAACTGGATTAAAATGTAGCTTTAATTAAGGTACTTGATAGCAGGATAATTTTAGTATAAACTTCTTAATTTCCTTTGCATATATAAAGGTCTGCTTTAAATATATTTTTGGAAGTGTTTATAATTAAATTTTGATATAAAATAAAGATAACTATGTAAACTTATAGTAAAAATCTTTAATGTATTACTATTCTATACACTTTCCATGTATAAGTTACATTAATAACTACTATGATTATTTATAATTTAAGGTAATTAATTAAGCATATGTCTAGTGTTTTCTTTTTTTAGTTAATATATTATTACTGTGTTTTTTAGAGATGAGTTCTCACTATACTGTCCAGGCTGCTCTTGAGCTCCCAAACTCATAGGCTCAAGTGATCTCCCAACTTAGCCTCCCAACGTTCTGAGATTACAGGCACAAGCCACTGTGCCTGACCTTATTACTGTTTTATAAAAAGAATGGAATAGAAAAAAAATGGTATATAACCAATACATGAGAATATCTTTGATCAAGGATAGGGTATAGGAAAAAAAGAAAAAAAGAAACCAGGACAGAAGACAAATACCGAACTCAGATCTTAGGTAAGTATTTGAAACTATGTCAGAAATTTCTATACATTTAAGACAAAGTCCATGAAAAAAATTAAATCTGCGTAGCAAAATACTTGTAAGACTCTAAACAACATTTTAAATGACATTTTTACTGTTTTAAATATGTGATTTAACAAGAACCAAATAAAAGTAAAATTGTCTCAATTTAAATTATACATACATTCAGTAGATTTTTTTTTATTCAAAAGTATATCACTGACAAAGATTAGTAACGAAAGTAAATGAGACTGTTTCCACTGACTACACATATTCAACAGCCTAATTACTAAAATCACATCTCTTGGGTGATTCCAAAACTGTAAGGACCATATAGACAGCTTTGCTCTCTCTAGCCTGGGTTTCTTCCCTAAACTTCAGACCTGCATGTAAAATTGCTTATTTAACCCTTATTCTTGCATATATAACTAAAACTTAACATGTCCATGCTCTTTCTCTCTGATCTGCACTTCCAGACTCTTCCTCATTTCAGTAAAATCAACTGTATTCTACCAGTTGCTCAAGTCAAAAACTCTGGGGTCATCCCTGACTCCTCCCTCTCTTTCACCATCAGGTGGCTCTGATCCAAATGAGTTCTACAGTCTTAAACTTCAAGATATAAACCAATATATCTCACCTAGATTATTCCTTAACACTCTAACCAATCTCTCAGCTACCTACCTTGGCCCTCCTCATTCTATTCTTCATACTATACTCAGTGATATGCTAAAAGCCACTCTTCTTAAAACCTTCTAGTGGTTTCCTCTTCACTCAAAGTAAAAATCAATCTTTAGATTGACCTACAAGGTACTAATTTCCTATTACCTTCCCTCATTTGCTCTGCCAAACAGACTCTTTCTGTGCCTCAAACACTCAGGCATGCTCTGCTTGAGAGTCTTTGTGCTTGCTATTACCTGAAATATTCTTTCCCTAAGGACTCAAATGGCTAGCTTCCTTACTTCCTTCTCTGAACAGCCTTTCTAAAATTGCAACTGGTTCCAAACCCCTACTCCTATGCCCTCCTAATTGGAATGTAAGTTCTACAAGAAAGGATTTTCGGCCTGTTTTACTCAACATTATTGCATCCCAGACCCCAAGGAGGGTCTAGCACATAATAGATGCTCAATAAATATTTGTTGAATAAATGAATGAATCCCCCAAGAGTCAGGAAATATACCAATGCTATCTCAAAACTCTCTAGAGAGTGTTTCTCAGCTTTATATTTGATAGTATCACTAGGACTTGCCAGCTTAGTTTGGTTCCAAGAGTGGTTTCAAATTGTGTACACACACATGATTTAGCAGCAAGAGAAGTACATATTAACACAAAAACCTTGCAGCTAATGACTGTATTAGAACAAAAATAACAACCATTAACAAGGAATAATTGGATAAGCACTGAATTGGGGATCAGAAAACAACTTTTAAAAAAGACACTATCACTACTTGGATTAAAATTTTGCCTCTTCAGGCCGCAGTTTCTTCATCTGCAAAAGGAAGTGTTGGATAATTCTAGTAATTATTATTTCACTTCTGTCTGAAAAGTGGTTGTCTTGGAGAAGAAAAAAAAAAGTATTTCCTGGGCCTTTCATGGTAAAGTTATGTCAGAACATATTGCAGGGGAGAGGAAAAACATTCCAGGTTCAGAAGCAAATTTTAATTTGTGGGCAAAATTGCAAATGCAATTTTGAAAATTCTCCCATGGAAGTGGCATTTTATTTCAGGTAAATTAGAGCATACAGGCAGTAGAGAAGAGCGGAAGAAGCACTAAACTGCAATCAGAACCCTGGGTTTCACCTGTAAACTCACTATGGAACTGTATTTAAGTCCCTTAATGAGGCTGAGTCTCAGAGAACCCACCTACACAATGAGGGGCTTGGTTGAGACCAGAGGTTCCCAAATGCTGACCAAGGACAGCAAGAATCAGAGTCCTACAATCCACCTGCATTGAGTTTGATTCAGTGGTGGATACAGGGCTGATAACTTTTTTTTTAAAACAAGCAACTCAATCATTGTTGATGCAGACAATTCACAAACCTGCATTTGGGAACCACTGGTATGGATGATGCTCAGTGCCCAATCAGACAGAATCTTATGGCCGTGGGTGGTATTATGCCTGAATTTCATGTGGTAACAAACTCACTTCTCTAGCACCTCCAGCAGATGGTTATCCAGTCTGTTTGAACAGTTCCTGGATTGGAGTACTTATTATCTTCCTTTCTAACGTGGGTCAGTTCTAATTATTAAATTCAACTTAATGCTAAAATCTGACTCAAAGAACACGATTCAGTTTTACTTTCTGAATAAATGAAGAATCAGTCTGTTTCTACTTTTAAATCAAAGTCTTTGAAATATTAAACACAGGCACAACATTTTCCCTTAGTCTTCTCTGGGTAAATACAGGACTTTCTTCAATTCCTCCACACATAACAAAGTTCCTTAATCAATTTCAAATACAATTTCAAAGTAATAATAGATTCATTCTATTTTGGGACTGTTTCATAGGTTTTAATCTTCTGTTGACTAGCAAATAAATTCACATAAAGTCAGAGAACATATACAATTTCTAAGTACTCCAATGAAACTCAATTAAATAATTCAATAAAGTAATTTGCATTCTGTTTTTAATATCAAAACACGTATTTTAACTTATTATTTTAAGATACTTTGAGTATCATAGATCATAAGTGGATATACAGCTTTAATGTAAATATACTTTAACTAAAACAATGAAACACTAATGACATTTTTATAAGGTTAAGGTTCTTCTACATACTTTATTCTTGACCCTTACAGCAATGCTGTGAAGCTAGTGGTGATAGTTCCTTTTTTGACCTGAGAAAACTAAGTCCCACAGAGGCTATTACTTGACCAGTGGAAGAAACTAACATTCAATGAGTCTTCATTATATTTTCAAGTATCTCTTTAAGCACATTTATTTACATGTTTTCTCCCTTTTGACAACTTTTTAATGTTACATCTGTTTTTATAGCGTATGAAAATAAAGGCAAGAGTGGTTATATAATATCAATGAAATTAGCCAGTTTTTAAGAGGCAAAGTCCCAATTTGAACTAAGAGCTTTTTCTTCTTCTTTTTTTTAATTTCAATGTGGTATTTTAATTCAGATTTTCTCAGTAGTCCCAATAATGCCCTTTTATGGCTATTTTTCGCCTGAAGCAGGATCTAATCAATAGCTATATGGTGCATTTACTTGTCATGTCTCTTCAATCTCCTTTAATCTAAATCAGTTTCACAGTCTTTTGTCATTCATGACATTAACATTTTTTTTATAATCAATATTTTTTATTATGATATTGTGGGGTAGAGTTAAGGGTTAGGTATACCAATACGTTTCGTTCAGGCACCCTTGTTGATAAAAGGTGTTTCCCCGCCCCAGACAGATATGAGCTTTTTCTTCTAAGTCATATGTGCTTCTCTCAGGATGCCTCTGGCTATACATTTCAACATAAGAGAATGTTCATGCCATTAATGTCTTTACCTAGTCTGGTAATTTCAATTGAGAAACCATTTATTAACACCTAATGATACTAACAAAAAAAAACAACCAAAAAACCAATTTTATCCTCCAAACAAATAATCTGAAGCATCAATTTGGCTGCTAAAGTAGGATCAATGGCTACTGAAAATTCAAATGGTACAAAATTTCTATTTTTTTGTTTTGTCTTTAATTTGCACTTCTATTTTCCTATGGCACTGTTTCAATTTCCTTTTATCCAAAATGGTATATCATTTGCTCCCATTCAATTTATAAATTGAGTACAGAGTGCTTTGTCAGAATTGATGGAGCTGGACTGAAACAATGCTGTATCACTGTCTTAGGAGCAATAACAGAACAGTAAGGGGACCAGTTCTCCCATTTTGCTTATTATGCAACAGAAAAGTCATCACTAAATACCCCCCACAGCATATCGGTAGAAATCATGCCAGCTTAATTATCCCTCAACTATACCTCATAGGTCAACTCATGACTCCCTCACTTTACTGTGAAATTATATCTCTCCACAAGTTAGGCACTGTAAGCCATTAGGCAAATGATTCATTTCTAGTTACTTTGGCACCAGCCCTGAAAATAAAGGGCAGTGCACAATAAAGAGGCCTTGGGTGTGTTAGACATAGACATTGTACTCAAAAGATTAGGGTCCTGATCTACCTGTCTAGTTGACCTTTTGTTGCTGGAGATTTCTTTGCTAGAGAATATTTATCTGAAAAAAATTATAGTACTATGTCTGCAGGGATAATTCCACATGCTATTCCTGCTAACTAAGAACAAGTTTCCTAACTGCTTCTACTTCTCATATAAAAAAGCAACCAAATGCTTTTATAGGACCAAAAGCTAGACATTCTTCAGTTAACTGACTAAAGTCTTTTGGGTTTTTTTTTTTTACAATTAACATTCCTGAAATTAGGATGCATCTAAACAATCTATGGTGTCTCAGATTTGATGACATACACTGTGTAGTAACATTTGGATATTTTATTTAAAAAGCATGAGCTAGCTAAACAAGCAAACATGATACAAAGGACTCTCTAAAACACCTTCCCTATAAAATAAAGCTTAAATGCCTCCTACTTCAGATAAATTATTAGAGAGAGTTCCCTTAAATTGGGAATTACCCTAGTCGGTTAGCACAGAAAAATTTTGAAACATATAGAACACCCATTAGAAAAAAATAGGCTCCATCATGTAAAAAATAAATCTTACTAAGAACCACCTTCTGATCAGAAATAAACCTTTTCATATAAAATAAGCATGCTGGAGGCTATCTACAACGATGATAAAACTATTGCTAATAGTATAATTTTCAATCCTGTTGGTATTTTTCTTATAAAAATGATATGAAATCACACTTTAGAAGACTGAGGTAAAAGGAATGCTTGAGCCTAGAAGTTCGAGACCAACTGGTGGCATACTGAGACCCTGTTTCTACAAAAAAATATTTAAAAATTAGCTGGGTATGTTGATACACACCTGTAGTCCCAGCTACTTAGGAGGCTGAGGAGAAAAAATCACCTGAGTCCAGAAGATGGAGGCTGCAGTGAGCTGTGATCATGCCACTGCATTCTAGCCTGGGTGACAGAGAGAGATCCTGACACCAAAAAAAAAAAAGAAGAAGATATGAAATCAGCTCTCTACACCCATATTCTCCTTTCTTTGGTTTAATTGGAGATGGTAAGACTATATAAATGCTTGATTTTATTTTTACCTCTTATTGGTAAAGAAATGTCTTTTGAAAGGGATAGGACAAAATGTAGAATTCTAAGGCATGCATAGAAAAAAATGAAAACTAACATTTAAAAAATATCATGAACCTGATGTAAAATAACTTAGGGGACAGGAATAATCCTTGGGAAAAAGGTAAGTTTAATCAACAAATGGCTGTGAAAACTTAAAAAAAAAAGAATCTCTGTAATTATAGTGGCTTGTAATGTTTAATAAAAATAAAATATAATTTTCATTTCTCTGACCCAGATTTTCTTAACTTTAGTACTACTGACATTTTAGACTGGGCAATTCTTAAACACTTGATTTATGTGCGGCATCTCACTGGAAGAAGAGATAAATAAATTTAACACTATTGTGGAAGGCCGTCTTTTACACTGCCTCTACCTACCAGATACTAGCAGTGTTCCCCCAACTCGTCAGTTACAAAAACCAAAAATATCTTGATACATTTCTTTCTTAACTGGGGAAAATCCGATCTCTGTTGAGAGTCAGGCTCTACCATTTTGGTTACTTCCCCTCAAAAAGCAAAAACAAAAAAATTATCCCAGTTTTTCTGAAATCACCTGAAAGGTAGAAAACAATTTAAAAATCCATTTATTATGCCATGCTCAGTGGCTCATGCCTGTAATCCCAGAACTTTGGGAGGCTGAAGTGAGAGGACTGCTTGAGCCCAGAGGTTTGAGAACAGCCTGAGCAACTTGGCAAGACCTTAGATCTCTACAATAAATCAAAAAATTAGCCGGGCATGGTAGTGCGTGCCTGTAGTTTCAGCTACTTGGAAGGTTGGGGTGGAAGGATCGCCTGAGCCTAGCATATAGAGGCTGCGGTGACTGTGAGCATGCCTCTGCACTTCAGCCAGGGCAAGAGGGTGAGACTTCTACTCAACAAACAAATAAACAAACAAACAAAACATTTATAAGCAACACTGCTTCGGGTGCATTTTCCAGCTACAGAAAAAAAAATTTACATATTTTTCTCATTTTTGCCTAGGTATTTAAAATATTAGAACTTACAAAGAGGATATCTCAAAAATCTGAATTACAAAATAAAGTCAAATAAAGTATCTTCTTTTTCAATCATTAAAGACCCAACCACTGAAGCAGCCAGAGGTAGCATATTCATTTTATTTTAGTATGGTGGCTAGTTTCAGATATTTTCATCCTATACAATTTATATTATTTATCATTTGCAAAGAATAATTGAGTACTTAATCTGTGCCAACTAAACACTTGATTTATATGCATTATCTCACTAGAAGAAGAGATAAATCAATTTAACATCACTATCTTAGTTATACAATTCGTAATATTCAAAACTTGGTTGTAAACAATCTTCCTAGTAAATGCCCAAAGAATTAAAATACTATTAAACTATAGTAATCACAATTTGAGCACAGTAAGCCATGTACAAGCATGGCATTGATGAAAAGAAGTTACATGAACTCTACTACAGTTCTTAAATGCCTAACTTACAAGCAATGCAGGTTAGAAAATGAGAGTACATTTACCAACCCAGAAACCCAAAAATAAAGGAGAAGAGGAAGAAAGGTCTTATTAATTAAAAAGCAATAAAAAATGCAAATATAGGTTTACACAAGTATTAGATTTTCTCAACTGTGACACCACTTAAAAATTAAAATGAGTTCCCTTATTTTTAATAGCATTTTAAAACTGAAATATGTATCCCATAAAATTCACCATTTTAAAGTGTATATACTTCTGTGGCTCCCAGCACATCCACCTTGCTATACAGCCATCACTATTATCCAATTACAGAACACTTCCATCACCCCAAAAAGAAACCCCGTATCTATTAGCAGTTATTCCCTCTTCTCCCTTCATTGCCTGGCAACCACTAATCTACTTTCTATCTCTATGGATTTGCCTATTCTGGACATTTCATATAACAGAATCAAAATGTGGCCTTTCGTGTCTGGCTTCTTTCACTTAGTATAATGACTCATGGTTTGTCTATGGTGTAGGATGTAACAGTATTTCCTTTTTTATAGCTGAATAATATCTTATTTTTTGCAGCAATTTAGTGAAGCATTTCAAGTTTAGATATGTCACCTGAAACATTTTCAGCCATTCCTGGAGGCCTGTAGGTGGTTGGACAGATGTAATACGGCGTCGCTGTTGCCCTTGGCCATTGGCTGCTCTGAGGTCCCCAAAAGTTGTTGGTGTTGCTGAACATGGTACAAGCCCAGTGGTACTACAAAAATATACAAGAGTGAAAGCAAAAATAGATATTTATTAAAAATAATGGACTCTAATTTAATAAGAAAGATGATGACCTGGCATATTTCAAACATCAATACAATTATTACTTTTATTTGCTCATTCCCAGAGAGCAAGGGTGCACAAAACCTACTTTGCTATTCTTGGAGTAAGTTTCCTCCCTCCTACATAACCACCTGTTATTATCCCAGCAGTCCTAATTCCAACCAAATAACACAATCTCCATGACAAAACTGCAAGTCATTAATACATTCAAGTAATGTTAAAATATTTCCTTAGGACATACAAGTTCCATTTCTCCCTATGACTAGTCTTCAATGACATAATTAAATAAAAATTCAAATTTTCTCTATAAAAAAAGTTGTGAAACTTTATTAGTGATAAAAAAACAAATTCAGATGTAGAAAGTTCAAATGTTTTAGATTTCACTGAGCACATTTTTACTTTAGTTTGCCCCAGATGCCTTCAAAACTGTTTATAACATTTATCTGCAATTTTTTATTGCCATTTATAAAGCTTGGTCTGGATATCTGACAGGATCAGCCTTGATTAGAAATGGACATATTCAAATCAGGCATGTACTGAGGACTTATATGCAAAATTAAGTAAGATAATCTAAACATTTTTATCCAAAAATTTAAATTTTGAGATCTAACTGTTTCAAACTTGACATTCAACTCTGCCATTGCTGAAATGAGGGAGTAAGACTAGATGATCTATCTCTAAAATTGTCTAACTTTCCTAAAAGTGACTAATTAATAGCAGAAATAGCATAGTTATAACAATATTAATATACTAAATCTTACCTTGGGATTTCTGTATGTAATTAAAACATTTAAACTCAAGGTAAAAAACTGAGTATCTCCATTTTAGAGATATTGGGGAAAAAGTAGTAGAAACATTAATAAAATTATATTTGAAAAGTAATTTCCAATTCATTAATCTCTGATGATGGAGTATTTTAAATCCAAGGAACACATACAAATTGTACCATAATAGTTGAATATCAAGCTCTGATAAATTACTAATTAAACAACTCCCCCAGTTTTTTCCTATCCAGCACATCTCATGTTAAAAAATGTACTCAATCACCAGATTCTACAGAAAAATTTACCTCCTGTCCTTCTGTTAACATTATACATCTAAGAAAATCTCTAACATTCAACAATTAAATCTATCTTTTCTTTTTTCAAATTTAAAAGTATGTTCTATTTTATATTCTCCAAAATAAAATAAGATGTGCTTATACCTTAAATTTTCTAAGAAAAAAATGATGGAAAATCATAGTTTCATCTTATTAGTAAATCTGTCAAAAATACCATAAAACATCAAATATATACCTTCCTAATTGACAAAGTCTCCAAAAATACACAGAAATAAATGTGCTACTTATTTTAATTTTGCCTTAGTGAAATTATGCTAAAATGCTAAAAAGTAACATCTAAGTTGATGTCTCAATAAAGACAAATTTTATTAAAATGTGTTTTGTAATAAAAATTCAGCACTCATTTATTATAAGTTGCCTTAAAAACAACTGAACAATGTAATAATATCTTTGCCCTAGTATCAGTCATATTAATAGAAAACCAAAATAATATGACTGACTGGAATCTATACATTAAAAAAAATAGCATTAAAGTTAGTTTGACATTAAATGCAACTTTCTCATTCAATAAATACTTTATCATGGCTAGAAGGAAAAAGCAAAATGAAGTGAATAGTTTCACTTGTTCTCTATCCCTCCACACCCTCTGGTGGAAGTGCCAAAAAGCAGTAAAAGTGTCATAAGGCAAAGAGTAAGGGGGTGGGAGGGCAGTTAACATGAGAAAAATCACAGAGAAAAGCAGCTTCTGAATAACTAAGAGACAGTTTTATCTTTTTCCTGTGTATCATCTATTTTATTGTACATAAAACTAATATGATTATCAATATTTCCAAATTTCACAGAGAAATATTTTCTACAACTGAACGAAATAATAAACTGTTTCCCTGAAAATGAGACACAATCTATAACAATGTTAAAAAAAAACCATACATCTGAGCAGTGCTAATCTGATTGCATCTTATAAAAAAAAACCTCTAAATCAAAATATTCTGAGAGAAAAAAGAAATGTCATAAACATAACGTTCTTTTGGTTTCTGTTGCTTTCAATCAGTTATTTGAAAAAGTGACAATTGTAACAAAAATAAAAGATGACTAAAAAAAGCTCTTAAGATACTTTTGTCATTTAAATTTTACAATACAGCAGTCCAAGTGACATTCAAAGCCATTTTTAATTGGTTAGGTAATAGTTATTGTGCTTAAGTTAGCCTAATTAGCATGAGAGTGGGAAAAGTTTTATACTGATGCAAAATCCTGTAAAATGAAGGACCGAAGCAGGAAACAAAACCACAATCCTATTTAGTTGTCATGGAAACTATTTTACTGGTATAGAAATGTATGTGTTAAAAACACAAGACCTACCAAGTCAATAAAAGGAAATTTATAATTTCATGAAATAATAGTTAGTAATTGTGAGGTTTATTTCATTGCTAATAAATAAATCTTCAAACTTTCATATAAAATATATCTATCCTAGAACAGCTGTTGCTACAATAACAAGATAGTTGCTCATCTTCATATTTTATGGTTTACTTTATAGAATTCCTCAGAAACTGTGATTTTAAAATTCTGTTCACAAGAGAATTTCTGCTTGTGTCTTACTTCAGTGTATTAGCAACAAAACACAAACTACAGTGATAGTCCTCTTTTCCTTATTTAAAATGGTATGTTTCTCAATTTCCAGTAACCTCAAAACGTGTTAAACAGTCAACGATAGTAGTAACATTATTATTCTATGAGAATAAACTAAAGTAAATGCGTTCAGAATCATCAACTCTTTAAAAAACATGAGAACCATAAGATAATCAATTATTGTATTTAATATTACCTTGTGTATTCTGAGACTTTGCATGGTTTCTTTCCCAAAGAAAAAGAACGGACCTCAGAACCATGGTCCAACTTTCTTTTCATCTATAAGGTGAAACAAATAAGATATTTTTTAAAAAATCATCTATCCAACTATCAGACTTTGAGTTAGTATTGTTAATATTTAAAATTGTTTAAATTTTGATATGCCTACAATGGTAACTAGGCAGTTAATATAGAAAATAAATGTTTCATAGTTTCTTCTATTTGTCCTACTTTGCTTTACTCTTAACAGACTGGAAAGGTGAATTTTTCTCCTTAATATTTTGTACAGAAGAACAGTATATGGTGATTTGAAAAACTGACATTCATCATATATACTCCTTGAGGTAATATATCTTTCATGTTTTCCAGTTTAATGACGAAAATAGGGGAAAATCTCGTGCTAATTCACATTTTAAAATAATCATATTCAACATGCCTTCCTCACTAGTCTTCATTTTCTTTAAAAATTTGTTTTAAGAAAGATAAGATAAATAAAATTCAAAATGTCAAAATCAGAAATAAGTACGGAAGAGAAACAAGAAACTCAATTTTAAACACCCGTATCATTATAAAAGGGTAAAGAACAGTATAAATAAAATAATCTTGACTAGTGATTATAGTAAGGCATAATAAAACAATTAATATTGGCAATAAGAACAGTTTAAAAAAGTAAATTTACAATAAGATAAAAATCTGGAGATGGTATAATAAAGCTGGGGTTTTGAAAAGTCATCAGTTAATAAATACACAGAATATAGCTCTACTGAGATACTCAGAACAAAATATTCTAACTTGAAAAGCAACAACAAGATATTAGAAGAGAGTTACACATCTCTGTAAGGTATATCTGAAATCTGTATTTTTAAGGTGTTTTATTATGCTATGTTATACTGTAAATATATTCAGAATTGCATTTTGTCAACATCAATATTGAAATATTTATTTTTATATTTCATTGTCGGTTAACTGAGGCCATAAGACTACATGTATATTTTAAAACTAGAAAATAAAATCTGATAAGATTCAACTTTTTCTAAGCTTTGTATCCACAAATTAATTACTGCGTTGCTGCAAGTTAAAGGAGGAAAAAAACCCCGGAGTGCTAGAGAGCTATCCTCATTTTTATAACAAGGTAAAAACCCTTGCTTTGCAGCAGCCTTATTTTCCTACCTATTGCCTCACATGGGAACACCATAACACAGCATGATACTATATAAATATTAAAGAGAATCAAAGAAGCTCTAAACATCTTTCTAAGCCACACTAAATTATAAAGACAATGTTATGATCATCATGAAGAAAGTCCTCTAAAATACAGGGATGCTCTTATTTAAAAGCTAGAGGTGAGGGTACAACAAGATAATCCACAATTTATACCTTAGTTCATGAAATACCTACTGCAAAGAAATGGAATTGGTCTGGTTTCTTCCTTCAGAAGTTTCTACACTAATTATACTGTTTTAAAGTGATGCCTCTCAAAAGCCATTATTTTCTTTATTTAAATAATTTTATTAAAAAGCAAACATAAATATAATAGCAGTAGTACATAGGCAGCCACGTGCTTCCATGTATATAATTTATAGACACATACACGCAAAATGAATCTATCAGGAAGGTCAGTCAGTACAGAATACCTTAACATTTAGCTTTCTGATAACTTCCACAGAGTATCAGGTTCATAATTATTATGAGAAACTTTGATATTTATTCTAATTAAGTTTATAATACTGGCTTTCAGAACTTCCCAGGATATCTTGTAGATACATGGTCCAAATACCATTTGCTACTAAAAGCAAACTTTATTTCCATCTCAGAAATCCTCCAATGAATAAACATGCCTACAATGTGTATCAAGGAAAACACTGAGAAAATATTTTATTTTAAAAATATTTTATAAGGTAAAGCATCTTCATTATGACTATAGAAGTCTTTTAAATACTGTACTGTTTACCTAAAAATACTTTAGAACCAAAAATTAATTCTGCAATTTTTAGGGGTATAGAAAGTAAAAATGAGCTTTTTAATTATAAATTCCAAATATCCTCATGATTCTCTACTTTTAAAAGGGGCAATGAATGCAAACAGGAAAAACTATATATAAGGTATAGAAAAATTGAAGCAAGATTCACTGAAAGCCAACTAAGGATTGAGTATTTCCAGGTCAGCATTTAACGGAGCCACATTTCTAAAGTCTGAATATATTTCTAGTGAAAAATTCTCCAGTGAAAATATACGTTATTTTAAATTTAAAGCGTTTCCAGCTCACATTATCTTTCCATTATTTGCTTACATTCATGATATAAAACAGACTACTAGTCATCTAGCCACCCACCAAAATTAGAGGATACTGCAGCCATCTCTGATGATACAGATTTTCCTTCTCAGGCAGGCACACACACAATCACACAGCATAGGAAGAAAACAGATTACTTACTTTGTAAAAAATCATTTTTAATGTGCCGTAGAAACCCATATTTTCTGTATTTTTCCCCTTCAGTGATTCTGTGCCCCCGTGTGTCCGGCTGCTTGGCAGTCTCTGACAATATAAACCTTTTTCAGGTAGGTATGTCACAGATTCTAATGTGGACATGCTCAGGCACGTCAGAAAAGGAAGATTAGGGAGCAGAACCAGCAACAAAACTCCACAGTAAAGGCAAATGCAGCTCAGTATCAAACCGCTTCCCGGGACACACATACATACATGCAGCTCGGCTGAGGAGAACTCGAGGGAATAATGAGAGAGAACCGAGAAGATTATTGGAGGAGACTATGCCCTGTCAAAGCCTTGACTGAACAGATTCCTCCCTCAGCAGCAGAGGGATCAGATTACATCTTCCCTTGAACACAGAATGGTGCAGTCCAGGATTCAGCAATGCAGACTGCACATCAATTACACGGTGATCCGCTCCAGGGAACCCGTGAGCACACAACGCACTCCACAGAGGGAGGATGTAGGCGCCAACGAGCCCGCCCCCACGCGCAGCCCCTCTCCCCGTGCAAACTTTCAGGAGGTTATTTTGGTGTTTTGTAAAACCTGCATTTTTGAAGAGTTTTAAATAGCAAGCAAGCAACATTTCCACAAATAAGTCCTTTCAGAAACATTCTGAAAATGGGATATATTTTCATACAGTCCCCCTCAATAGAGGCAAAGCAGGCTATTTTCACTAACTGTCATCTTACTGGAGTCCTGGCACAGACTGATCAGATTTTTCAAGTAGCTTAGATGGTACAAAATGGGCCATCCCAAAGGGAGAAATTACATATTCTTTGGGGTGGCTGACAATAAAGTAGACCAGTTTGGAACATATAGCATCTGCAGAAATTATGTAATTAAGCTACATTCCAATCTGTATATGTGTTATATTTAATAAAAATATTCCCCATGCTTTTCCACTTCATTCTTTTAAAATGTAGTAATTTTCAGGAAAATTATCACACGCTTCATCAATCCTTAGTAATAATGAAAATCTTTTTAAGATTAGCAAACTAGTCCTACCTTAGTGTGTCAAGTTTGGCTGAAAGGCTATGTTCTTCAAAATGTGCAAAAGCTGTGCTCATTGGGGAATCTTACCCTTCTGTGTCAATTTAAACGAGTAAACAGGAGGTGCTGGACTTTTACCTTCAAAATTATTTTGACAACTGTATTGCTTATCATTAAAAAGGCGTTTTTGCATGATAAAGTTACCAAAGTTTGCCTGAGGCAATAATTTTCTTAGACTGACTACGACAAATCTAGATTATTTCATCTTGCAACTTGCTTCACAAGTAGCTTCAGAGGCAATTATAAGATTCCTTGGACTAGAAAGGCCCATTATTATGGGTCTAGTTCATTAACTCCTACCCTCCCCATTAACATTTTTTATTACAAGTAAACTGCGTGCCTATAGTTATTTGAAGTACTCAGAAAGTTTCTCTAGAAATAAACAGGAAATACTATTTAGACATAACACATTGTAATACTCTCTGCTATGGTGGTAAATCACTTTCTTTAGTACAATGGTTGCAAATACTGCATGAAGTAGCATAATTTTAAAAATAAAAATGTTTACCATTATAACTAAGACATTAAGGCAATGTAATGCCTTTTACTTTAGAACACAAGTGAAAATAAGATAATATAAAATTTTATGAGGATGTCCATCTTGGGTCTTTCTCTTAGAAATTATATTATACTGTCTGTCTTTTTAAAAAATATCCTATCTTGGGTCTTAAATTAATTCTTACCCTCAGGAACAATATGTGCATGTGCCCAGCAGAAGTCAGTTTTCAAAATAATTAGCTCCCTTCAAAGGTAAATTCTTTTTAAATTGAAATCTCTTACTTTTAGCAAAAGTAATCTAATTGTTACTAATGAATCCACAGAGGCTTTAGTTAGAGGCACTCATGATTTAGGAAAGGGGGAGAAAAGGTAATATTCTTTCCTGTTCTAGACTACAGGGACACTTAACATTTCCTCTAGAATTTGTCAGTGGTAACTAGCTTGTCATAATACAAATGTAATACTAGGGATACAATAGTATACACTTTGATTTTAACTGAAATCATGACCTATTTCTAGTTGAACAAACTTTCTCAAATTAAAGCTGCTCAGTTAAGAACAGACCCGGAAAATCTAGGATGTTTAAAGAAGAAAATATCTCTTAATTTTGTATATTCAAAGGAATGTTCTCATGGTTACGTGGCTCCTACTTATGGCTGTGATGTTACCAGAAAACCTGTTCTCCCAAAATATTTGTTTAATATGTAGCTATGTCCTGAAATTCACATTTTATTCTTGAATATGTAAAATATTTACATGGTTCAAAAAATCAAAATGATATACAAAACGTAGACATTGAGAAGTCTTTCTACCACATTTCCTCCACCCACCATGGTTCCCACTTGGGAATGTTTTTTATTCATTTGTTTACCCTTAAATGAGAAATGCATATATATGCTTGGAAGTACTAATGAAGGCCTTGTTTTCCCATGTATTTAAAATAGTTCTCCCTAGTATCTTGTTTATAATGTTAATTTGAACTGTAAAGAATTTGGCAAGGAAAACTAGTCAACCAAACCTC